GCATTTTTTTTTTTTTTTTTTTTTTTGTCTTTTTGTCTTTTTTCTGTGTCCAGCAACGGATTGCAACCCTCAGTGTTGCCCCCATACCGGACCGGGGACCGGCAACGGGATTGCAAACCTCGGTGTTGCTCCCGCGCCTCGCTCAGCCAGTGAGCGGGAACCGGTCTGTATGTGGGATCCGAACCCTCGGGCGGGAGCTCCGCCGCGCTTCCCAAGCGGCGCACTATCCAGTGCGCCACCGGGCCGGCCCCAAAGTGCATGTTCTGAAGCACTGCTGTATTGTTTTCCTTATTGTTAGGGAAGAAGCAGGATGAATGTGGGGAAAGTAAAAAATAGGCATATTCTTCTAGAATGATAATTTCTTAACAGAGCTATCTTGAGATAGGAGAAGGTTTCTTGATAGATGGTGAACTCCCTGTTGCTGAAGATAGGCAAGTATAATGTAGAACTCCACTGATTGGTCAGCAGGGGGGTTCTTTTTTTTAGGATGAACCAGATAATATCTAAGGAATTTAAAAGAGGAGAAAAATAGACTTCTTAGAAGAAAAGTAGAATTTGCATAGAATAGAAGGGGTAGGGATACCTGAGTAGTAGAGAACCAGTGTGAGCAAAGGGGTAGAAGTAGTAAGAAGCAGGGTGGGTTGATTTGGTTAGACAGAGGGACTGTGGTAAAAAACCACAGAAAAAGAAGTTGGAAAGGAAAATGGGGCCCAGGTAACCAGGCTGAGATATGTATACTTGTTGAACTAGACTGTTGTAGGTTCTTGAGCAACGACAACCACCATGATGAAAGTATCTGAATTTCTGGTCATATCTTATCACTGGCCCTCAAAGGACCAGAGTTTTATTTGTCTATGCTGAGAATACAGCCATGTTTGTGGTGGTGAATGATGCCTAGAAGTGTCCTCATCACTGTCCTGAAGTCTAGCTATGGGACTGGGAATGGATGAAGAAGGTGTTATAATCCAAATAGCTACAAATTCCTGAATATCTTTGTCATCTGCTCCTTCTTTTTTCACATTCTGCTGAATTGCTTTGTCAAGGAGGGGAGGAAGAAAATGTTCTTTTTAGAGGAATGTTACCACAATAAAAAGCTCATCAGCACGAACTGTTCCAAAATAACACAAAAACTGTCACCCTGCTTTTCTCTGAGCCAGTGGTGAGCTGTTCTTTTTCAGCATAGTTTCTGCCTTGCTTTGGCTTCCACTGCTCTCCCTGCAATCTCAGGCCTCTGGTGGTTAGAGAGGACTGGCTAGTTTGGGTTTTTATGATCAGTCACAAACTGCTGTCATTGAGAGAAAAAGTAGCAGAATGTAAGAAGCAGAGTGGATTGCTCTGGTTAGACAGAGAGACTGTGGTAGAAAACCACAGAACAAAAAGTTGGAAAGGAAAGTGGGGCCCAGGTAACCAGGCTGTGTGCTTAAGTCAGTCTAAACATGTATGCCTTGGTAGTATGGTTTGAATCTTTGCCCCCTCTGAAACTCATGTTGAAATTTAATCCCCAATATGGCATTTGAAAGGTGGGGCCTTTAAGAGGTGATTGGACTGTGAAGGCTATGCCCTCATGAATTGATTAATCCATTCATGGATTATTAGGTTAATAGATTAATTGATTATCATGGGAACAGACTGGTAACTTTATAAAGAGAAGAAGAGAACACATGAGGACGCTCTTGCTCCCTTTCCATCTGTTGCATTGTGTTGCCTCAGGACTCTGCAGAGTCCCCACCAGGAAGAAGGCCTTCACAAGATGTGGTCCCTCAACCTTCAACTTCCCAGCTTCCAAACTGTAAGAATTAGCTCCTTTTCTTTATAAATTACTCAGTTTCATCCATTTTAAGTGACAAAAAATGGACTAATATGTACACTTGGAGTTCAGGATCTAACTAGAAAGTTGGGTAGATAGCTCAAGGCTCGGGCCGGCCCGTGGCTCACTCGGTAGAGTGCGGTGCTGATAGCTCAAGGCTCAGAATATTGGGTAATGGGTGGTGAGGCATCAGGCATTAGCACATCCCTGGTTGTGCTGGCCGTCAAGGACCTGAGATTTTTATGACCCATCTAAAAACACTGCTGATTACCCAAGAACCTTAGTAGAAGTCTGAAGGGATACTCTATTAAGGCTTCATTCAGTTAGCCTTATATCCATAACTTTTTCAGATAACTGAACTGTAACCTCAGTGCTAGATCTTTCGAACTTTTAGCCATTTTTTTTTCTTTTTTGTCTTTTTTCATGACCGGTAATGGGATCGCAACCCTTGGTGTCGCGCCCGTACCGTGACCAGCAACGGGATTGCAACCCTCGGTGTCGGGATTGCAACCCTCGGTGTCGCGCCCGCACTGCGCTCAACCAGTGAGCGGACCGGTCTCTATATGGGATCCGAACCCTCGGTGGGAGCACTGCTGCGCTCCCAAGCACCACACTCTACCGAGTGCGCCACTGGGCCAGCCCAAAATTTTAGCCATTTTTGAAGTAATTCTCCCTTCTTACAGATTATTGTGACCAGAGTGTTAACTTTCTTTGTATGAATCAAAGCATGTCTTCAGCGCCTCTGGCACTATTACCCCAGTACCTGGATTCCTATATGCATTGTTGTGAATGCTTCTTATAGTTTTCCTGTCTCTTCTTTGATTCATTCTCATTTCTTTTTTTTTTCCCCCTTTTTGTCTTTTTTCGTGACCGGCAACGGATCGCAACCCTCAGTGTTGCGCCTGTACC